TGAAAGAAAGAAACTTCAGAATATCTCAAAAGAATTCTAAGGTATGTCCTTTGATCAAGTAAAACCACTTTATATCTGAATACCTGTATGACATTAAATATAGTCTGAAGATTCATCATCATCTACATGGAATTATACTAGCTTTTAGCAAAGATAAATATAAAAATCAATTATATAATAATCTGCTGCATTTAGTAGAAAATGCTTTTGAGAATACTGTCCATTATTTACTACCCAGTGTCTCCGATATAAAACTCCACTGCAGAAACTTCTTTCAGAAGTAGGCACCAAGAAAAGTTTTATTATCCTGTAGGATCTTCCTTTAGAGAGAGACTGTTTAGTAGCTCAGAGCCGATTTAGTAGCTCCAAGCTTAATTAGAGCAACCATATTAACACCAACAGCTAGCACTCTTACTTTTTTTTTTTGCTGTTAATTGTTTTAAATAAACAATAGTAGAATGTGAAGTTACTGCCGAGAATACTTGTTTTCTTTTGTCAGTCATTTCAAATTCTTTTTTCAAGATGAGATATGCATGCATGAATAAAATATATACGTGAAGAGTAAGGTTGTTTACAATGGGTGGAACTTGCTAGCATAACTGGTATAATATAAAAATCTAGACTCAGAAGATCCTGTTTTCATCTCAGCGCACCAGAAGATCAACAATGGGATTAACACTTAAATTGTCTAGTTAAATGCAACAGTATATGTGAACACAAAAACAATTTAGGCACTAGTCATTTGTATTTCTACAACTTAATTTTTCATGTAGACTTTTACCTACTTCATTTGGCTGAAATGTATGTTTTCTGGTTGCACATCAGCAAGGCAAGGATTACGGTTTTGCGTATCAGAACAACTTTTTCCCTTCCTATCTGATTATCCAGGTTTTCGTTTTTGCTGACAGTTTTAATTATCCCACAAAACACAATGGAACAGTAAAAGGACAGACGTTCCTAACCTTTCCTGAGTTCCGTTCTAAAGTATTCTTCTGTAACAAAAAGGATTTCAGGCAATTCCCAGTAGTAAGTCAAAAACACATATACTAACTTGTTTTTAAGGTTAAAAAATACCATTTGAATAAAAGTCTCTAATAGCGTGGGTATACCTCAATATCGTACAACATATTTTCATGAGGCATGCTAAACACCAGCTTCAACACTATCAGCAAGAAAACATTTCTAGAGTTACGGTTTACAAACTGTGGACTAAAGACCCCGGGGAAGTCACTGTTCCCACACGGGAACTGAAAATCCAAATACGTCACGCACTGCTTGTAGATGGAGTGAATAATCCACTACTATTTATTTATTTATTTTTTAAATTGGGACCTACTACAGACTTCTTTGAAGCATTAAAAAGCAAAGGTGTCACTCTGAGGAGGACTACGGTGCCCTTCACCCAAGCCATGGTATTTTCAATGGCCTCACGTAGACATGAGAGCTGGACAATGAACAAGGAAGGTGAAGAACTGACGTCTTTGCACTGTGGTGTTGGCGAACAATACTGAGCGTACCATGGAATTCCAGAAGCGCAAATAAATCTGTCTTGGAAGTACAGCCAAAATACTCCTTAGAAACGAGGATGGCTAGACTTTGTCTTATGTACTTTGAACACGTTATCAGGAGGGACCAGTCTTTGGAGAAGGACATTATGCTTGGTCAAGTAGACATTTAGTGACAAAGAGGAAGACCCTCAAGGAGATCAACACTGGCTGCAACAACGGGCTCAAAGACAGCAACAATTGTGAGGATGGCAAAGGACCGGCAGTGTTTTGTTCTGTTGTACGTAGGGTCGCTATGACTCGGAATTGACTCCGTGGCACCTAACAACAACTAACTTAGTGGTTAATTGCAAGGCTTTACTGTGAAACAGTCCTCTGTATGAAACCCACCTCTCTACTTTTACTAGCTGAACGACAAGGAAAGTCTTCAACTTTCGTAAACTGTGTACTATATGGGTCAGAACTTGCCTAGAGAGTTGTGTTCAATTCTGTGCACCAAAATTTCTGCGTGAAGCGAACTACAGTATGTCTATGACTGTAAGAGGGACAGTAAGAGTGTTTAGAATTCACAGGTGGCAGGAGCAGCATTTAGCCTAGAAAAAGGGGATTTAGGGAGAATTTTTAAATGTCTAATATTTGAAGGGGCCCTGCTTGTGCAGTGGTTAAGAGTTACAGCAGCTAACCAAATGGTCGGCAGTTCAAATCCACCAGCCACTCCTTGGAAATCCTAAGGGGCAGTTCTACTCTGTCCTATAGGGTCACTATGAGTTGGAATTGACTTGACGGCAATGGGCTTTTGGTTAGTATCTGAAGGGATAAACAGGTAGATTAGAGGGATTAATTAGAAGTTAAACTTGTATTGTACTACTTAAGATGGCAGGATTAGGACATTAAAAGAGAAGCAAATTTTGGCTTAATATGAAATAACTTCTAAATAACCATAGTCGTGCTACACTGGAATAGGCTACTTTAGAAAGTAGTCTGTGCACGTACTCAAACAGAAAGTCAAGCCGAGGCAGTGTGTGTGTCTGTGTGTGTGTGCGTGTGCATGTGCGTGCGTGCAGAAAGTACACCGCACTGGAAAACTAATTTAAATAACCTCAACAGTCTTTCCCAACTTTAAGGGGGATTGAGATGACCATGATAATGCTTGTGTTTCATGTTTATAATTTAATTTTTCACAGAAATCCTATAAGTATATTTTAGAGACGAACAAACTGAGGAAGAACGTTTAACGTAACTTGATTGCGATTACATTGTGGGTAAGTGGCAGAGTTGGTTTTCAAATCCATTATTTCTGACTCAAGTGTGGACTCTTTCTCCTCTCTATCAGTGGCTCTCAACCTTGGCTCCCGGCAGAATCATCTGTACAGTTTTTAAAAATTCCAGCATCCAGGCCATATCTCAAACCAATTAAATCCAAATCCCTAGTGGAGGAACTCTTTAAAGCTTCCAACCGTTCCCAGTGTGGCAGCAATGGTTAAGACCCACTGCTCTATACCAAGTGTTGGCAATAAAGTTTTCTGGGAACACAGGCACATTCATGTGTTTACACACTCTCTATGGCTGCTTTCACAATACAATGACAGAGTTCAGTAGCTGACTGACAGACATTTACTCGTTGGCCCTTTTACAGTAAACGTTCGTCAACCCCTGCTTTATACCATATTATTCCTAACCATAATGCTCACAAGATCCATTTTCTGCCACAGATAATGCAGTTGGTTTTGGAGGCACTAAAACATTGTAAAAAGTCTAACAGCTGGAACACAACACATCACTGATACAAACATCAAATTTGTGATTTAAGCAGGTTTCATCAGATATAAAAGCAATAGCAATGACACAGGAATAAAATTCTCTTTTATAAGATATAAAACTTGAAAGCATTAGACAATCAAAATTTACTGTAAGATGGGCCTAGTCCATCGATACAGCCAATAGCTAGAGGTACTTGCTAAGATACTCATTATAGTAATGTTATTTTTGAAACTATGTATTTTGGTTTAAATGTTAGCATTTTTCTTTTCTTTGAATCACTCCAATTATATACGGCATTTATTTTAAGAACAGGGTTAGCTCTGATTACTTTTGCCATCAATCAAATACTAACCAAAAGATCTACTTACTCCTTAAAGGAAAATAATGAGTGTGTGTCTGTTTATGTATATGTATTTAAAAAAACACTACACGGTTCCCATTATTCTGTTAAACAATATTAATCCATGCAGCAGAAAGACAATATAGCTCTGATTCTGAGAACTCATTCATGATCTTCTATATTAATAATTAACCAAGACAGTACTAAGGAGGTCTATCTACCCTCAATACTTTAAAGAAACTGCTTCAAAGATTTTATTGTTAGAAACTTGGTAAGTAAGAAGGTATGGAAAATATCAGCAAAAAGGGGTTCATTTGTACACACATGCTGATTTTGATATAAGTAAATTATTACCAAGAAAAACCTAAACGTAAAAAGTCAGAGGAACCATTTCATAAGATTACTATGACTTTTTGCACTCTGGGAACTAAAAACAGTGTTTCTTTTTAACAGAAAGTATTCCATCCCAATCATGTAAAATCCTGAATACTTACAGTCCTTTGAAGCAAAACAAGCATTAAATCATATATGACAGTAGTGGATGAGTCTGGGGTATACATAGGAAACCTCAAACCCACTGAGCTGCTTTTTCAAACAATATAAAATCACACACAGGCAGATTAAGGTAAAGGAAGCTCAAGAATCAAACCTTTCTACTTATGGAGTAGGTTCTCCAACTCACTTTAAAAAATATCCACACACCATATATGGGATATGCTAAGATTTGTATATGCATTCCTTAGGCAATCTATTGAACAATCTCAAACGCTCTCTCCACTAACACAAGCAATAATGAAAATAAGAGGTTGACTGTGGGACAAACTTAAAATCACCCAGCTTCTGGAATAAATTGGTGGTGAGAACAGTAGCTCTAAACACATTAGAATAATCCCATTATAATTTGCAAAATCCTACAAAACACCAGAAAATGTTCAAATAGGAAAAATGGCGAGTAAAGAATATTAACAAGGTGTTTAAAAACTTCTAAAATGACATAAACTGACTCTGTAACCTATTACAACTAAAGATTTTATCTTTTCCTGCACTGGCTCTAAAAAAAGTGAACATAGCTAAAAGGTCAGAAAAGTTAAAGAACTGTACATGCAGTAAAGTCCACTCCATACTGCAATATATGTAATGTCTAGATATTATGTTAACATATCCTTTGAGAAACCCACTTGCATATGCCTATAGAAAAAACAAAGTCACACCAAAAACACTACATGCTTGTTTGAGTGATTCTCTCCCTATTACTTGCATAACTGTGTATTACTTTAATAATGAAAAAAATTTCCATTTAAAATATACTTAGAAATATACTTCAAGGTTATATCCAACCAGAATTAGAATGAAGCAGCTTCAAAATCAAGGTACCTTCGTATATTAGTACTTACCTGGTTCTTCCTTGATGAATGACAAATCTTCTTCTGGATAGGCAACAGGTGGCTGCATCACTGAGCAATCTTCTAAATTTGTTTCATTATTAGGTGGTACATTATAAATAAACCGCTTTGTAGTTTGGTTTTTCCTCCTCGTTTTGCCAGTCTCTTGAATCCCCTGGGAGCCCATATCGTTCCAAATAAACACTTTTGTCTGACCTTGAGATTCATTTTCAGCCAATTCAGGAGAGCCATCCTGAACCCAACTACTGTCGTTCATTTGGTAGTTATCTATTTGGCCCTCGTCGACGCTGCAACCATCATTTTCAACTTTTACATTGCTTGCCAAGTTGGTAAGATTCCGTGTTGCCCAAAAACTGGCAATTTTTTGATCCCGTGATGAAGACAGACCATCTCTATTAATTGGTTTTCTGTTATTGTAGTCCACAACTACAGACTCTGGAGCTTCCGATTTAATGCTTATATTTAAGGCATCTTTAATGAAATTGCGGCAAGTTTGAACAACTTCACTCATTTGAAGATAGCTGGCCACTGTCATCACTTCAATGGCATTTTGGCTTGTGAGCACCAGGTTACCAGAATACAAGAAGTCCAAGATGACTGAAAAACCTTGAACTGCAGCAATATCTAAATGGGTAGTATTGTTTTGGTTAGGGCTTTCTTTGTTTGAAAAGCAATATAAAGTCTTAAAGAAACGGCTGCCTGCAACCAGGATGTTCTTATGAGCTTTAAAGATTTTTCCACTCACCACAATGCTGACATCACAAAGAATACCTTTCTTTCTCTGTTCATTTAGTTGTCGAAGAAGCTGATAGCAGTAAGAGTTCTCATTTGGCCTACTATTAAAGTCACAGTACCCTTCCTCTGATGGTATTTCTGACTCCTGCAATTGGATGGAAAACATTCACATTAAATTTTATTTACTTTTTAAAGTCCCCAAACCAAGATAAACAAGTATCATCATCAGTTTTTAAAAAGCACTAATCAGCCACATTAACTTGTTAGTAATCATTATGTATTTTGTAACTAAAGTGTTTATCATCACAAATATTGAGAAGGAAGGAATGAACAGCTCGGTATGATAAAACCCATTGCTATTACTAAAAAAAAAATAAAATAGCAATTATTTTATCTGTAGGAATCAAACTAGTTTGCCTTATCTCCTTAAGTGATAGGAATACATCAGTCTCCTCTCTGACTGAACTTATTCCAGTTACAATACTCTGGGCACTATTTAAAAGATGGAGCCCTGGCTGCACAGTGGTTAAGAGCCTGGCTGCTAAGAAAAAGGTTGCCAGTTCAAACAGACGCAAAGGCAATTTTTTCTTTTTATGATTTAAAAGGTAAATCTGAAGTACTGGTAAACACTGACTCAAATAGTTTAGGTCAATGAAGTTAATAAAATCTAACTAGAAATAAAGTAAGTAGTTAAGTAAGACCCTAATGAGAAAATCTGCTTCAACTATAGGAATATTCACAGTGATGTAAGTCTACAGTCATTCTAATATGATCAGAATTTCCCATAAGATATAGTTAGCAAGGATTCCAGTAGAAATCAAGGAAAATCTGAGTGTTAACTGAGTTTCAATACCCTACAGCATCCTACTCTATTTGGTTACTCTTTAAAATGACATCATCTTAGAAAGACAACCATATTAATGAATTACAAGACACTGAAAAATAGCCTTCTACCTTAATATGGATTAGATAGTGGAGGAGTCATCACGGTATTTAAGAATTTAAATCCAGCCCTCCAAACTTTCTTTCATTATCAAAAAAAATTCTTAATCAACTTTCAAAATACCTTATCTCTTTAGAGTCATAAATGCTATTTCCTGTAAGTTGATAATTCCTGAACTAAAAATTCTTAATGTTTATAAATTTTCTCTCTAATCAATCTTACCAGTTTTTTAAATAGCATCACTGAAGTTATAAAGTCATTTCCTATAAAACAACTAAGGTTATGCTGTATAAGAGCAAGAATAAAAGAATATGATCAACATCTCAGAATGCTGGCTATAGCGGTTATTCTCTTTGTGTCCTTGGACAAATCATCAGCCTTGAGCCTTTTTCTTAAATTAGAAAGCAGTTCCACAGTTAGTCTATAACTGAGAACGTTATGACTCTCCTAATACAGTGAATAGGTGGGTAAGTTCCCTAAAGGCAGAGTTGTAGATTTCTGTCATCTTGAATAGTGCCTGGCACATTTTTGTTTAATAACGTCTCTAAATAACTGAAGTAATCTTTTTTTCCCCAAAAGAAAAATTGCTTAAGCATTTGTAGCAGAAGTTATGAATGAAAATGGTGACCTTATTTAAGTACGAAAAAGTTTATATTTTCTCTGGCATAAGATAATAACTTAAATACAGGTCATGTCTATAAAATAATGTCCGCAAACACACACACACATATCACACATATACATATGGATCTATGATTATATGAGCTTGGAGAAAAAACATGGGACTATAGTACTAGGTTGTAAACACGCTGATATGCTTGGAGAAAAGAGAGGAAGAGGGAATTAGGAAAAAACTGGGTGAAAACTGGGTGAGGGGAGCAAGACAGTTGTTGAGATTGCAATAGAATTCTCATTCTAAATGGTGGTGAGATTCCTAAACAATCCCAAAACTCCACTTATCTCAAACATAAGTATGGCTTAAATTATAAAAATATTAGCTTTAATTTGACTCCTGGTTAACAGGAGGCCATACATACAATAACCCTAATTCTCTGAAACTAACATCAGGTCACATGGTCCATCTAAGAATTTCTGTGTTGTTTTCAGGTATGAGAAATCAACTGAAAGAACCAAAATATTGAAATTCCAGCATACTTAAATGTTTCACAGGGATAATGGAACAGTATCTAAAAAACTGATAAAGCAAAACTTCTAAGCACTGATCAAAATTTGGCAGCACATCCATAAAGCATTTGTGGAAGCACTGAATTAGCAATTTACAAGTCAAGAACTCAAAAGTTTATATATTAAGCAGTTTAAAAACATTTTAAAGAGGAGGTGGGTGGCTATGTCTAATTGTAGCAATCATTCTAGGCTATAGTCACTGTGTCCTGCATTTTCTGGGCCAGTCCCAATTTCCAAAATTCTCTGCCATTATCAGATCAAATGCCCTAGTTTTTAAAAATAGCTAGCAGCCTATCCACCAAAATGTTTGCCCATTTTGACAAAAAACTATACAAATCAAACACAACTATTCAATCACTATTTTTCTCATTACTGTTGTATTAGAACAGTAATGGCTCCGTTTTTATAAGCAACGCCAACAATTTCTTTTTCACAACTGCTCAGCACACTATGCCATGCGTTTAAGGACCCCTGGTGGCACAGTGGTTAAGTGTTCAGCTGCTAATCGAAAGGCTGGTGGTTTCCCGGTTTGAAAAAGATCTGGCAGTTTGCTTCCGTCAAGATTTACAGCCTTGGAAACCCTGAGGGGCAGTTCTACTCTGACCTAAAGGGCTGCTTTGAGTATTAACTTGAGGGCAAAGTTTTTTTTTGTTTTTTTTTTGCCATGTGTTTGTAGCAGCTATTAAATACGCCCAAGGCAAGAGTATGTGCACTCTCCAAGGAGGGTTATTTGAGAATTTGTGTAAAACAGAGCACACAGCAACTAAAATAAATTGTCAATAGTATTTCTTGAACCAAAAAAATTACAAAATCCTTAGTAATAGAGACAAAATCTTAAAGTAGGTCCCTAAGAACCCAAGCGATCTGTCTCTTTGGTTCCTTCTAACATTCTAACTCTACTCTTAGTATAATGAGAACATTATCACTGATAAATAAAGACATATTGGTGAAAACGTTTAAATATTTCCACAACTGCTCTTTTCTAATGTAGGAAAATGTTTTCTATCCCCTTTCCCAAAAAGGAAGACACAACTCTGCCCAAACATCAGTCTAAACTGGCTAGATAAGGAGATTTTAAGAAAATGGACTTGAAAAATCAGACAACTTTTCACTTCTGAGATTCTATAAAACATGAAAAGTCTTGAAATCTGTTTAACCATGAAGACGCTCATAAGGAAAAATTTTAATTGTACCTATGGAGAGCCCTTTTAATCAACTAGTCCAATTTTTACAGAAAATAGAAAGTGCTCATTTAGTTAAAATTCTCATAACCTATTATCTTCATATTTATTTCCAGACATAAGCTTAAAAAAAAAAAGAAAAGCAAATATTTTACTCACAGGAGAAAAAGCTCAAAAAACTGACTTCACTCATTAATAAGCATTCATTGAATACCTACTTTAGCCAGGGTCTGCACTGCGGACCCAAAATGAGTATCGTCCCTGAATCAAAGTTATGGCTAGTGGGGGAGACTGGCTGTCATCAGAGCAGAGAGGTGGTGTGGCTAAATCTGTGTTTTCTGGGAGATGGCAGGATGTTTTTTGAAGAAAGGCCTGAGCAGAGCCTTAAAAGGATACAAGATTGGGGGCAGAGGATGAGCATTCTGAGAACACACAGCAAAAGCAAAAGAACCAAGACGGTCTGTAGCATCCTGAGAGTTCCAGATTTATGAATGAACTTCAAAAGAATCCATGAAATGTAAACATACACTTATGCACATTTTTCTGAGGTAAGTGTCCATCACTTTCATCAAATTATCAAAAGAGATGTGAATCCGCCAAAAGATTAAGAACCACTGCTACAGGTGCTTTATAAACCTACAGAAGCAAACAACAATCTGATTGGATCAGCACACAGAAGAAAGAGCTATGGCAGCAACGCCGAAGATTAATCAGGGTGGCACAGTGATTAAACAGCTCAGCTGCCAACCAAAAGTTCAGTGGTTCCAACCCACCAGCCGGTCCATGGGAGAAAAATGTGGCAGCCTGCTTCTACATAAAAATTATAGCCTTGGAGACCCTATGAGGCAGTTCTACTCTTTCCTACAGGGACGCTGTAGGTTGGGATCAGCTCGACGGCAGTGGGTTTTTTTTGGGTTAAGACTGGATGGAGGTAACGTGACCAGCTGGAAAGCTACTGTAATAGTACAACATACGTGCAAGAAAGAAAGGCCTTAACTAGGGCAGGGAAAATGGTAAGAGGGGTAATGGAATACGCAGAGTTTGGAAAAATATCTGGAAGGTAAAATCAGCAGAACTTGGTGATGAACTAGCTCTGAGAGGGAAGGGAGAAGAAAGAATCATGGAAGTCTTGAAGAATTCTAGTTCGGGGAACTAGATAAAGCCATCAACGTGTAGAGAATATAAGACCACCCAGTTTCCAGTCCTTTCAGGGGACAGTGAAACAGAAGATAACTTCAGTTGCAAGTGATAAAACCCTCACAGAGCTCACCTGCAGCCAAGCCACAAAAGAGAAGAAAACACTATTTAGCTAAAAGCCAACAAGTATTTACTAGTTACTTTCCTACTCAGAATCAGACCTTTCTCAATAACTGGATTAGCAGGAAAAAAGACATTTACAACACAAAAACCAAAGAATAAACTAAAAAGAGCAGTAAAAACATCAAAATCTTATTTTTTCAGCAGCAACTCACTGGAAGAGTATACTCATTTCCACTTCCAAATTCAAAACTGTGAATTTAGAAAAAAATCAAATTTAATTTCTAGAATATGAGGACAAACAAGGCTACAGCAAATGCAATGTCAAATAAACGCCTACTAGCGGGACTGAAGAATTATCCCAACAGTTGGTAGACAAAGACAGGAAGGTCTCCTCTGGAGTCTTCTCTTCTGATCACCTCTATGGTCTCCTTGAGTGACAGCATCCTCTCTTCTGGCTTAAGTACTCTCCCCAGAAAATCTAATTCTATAGGTCTGGGGTAGAAATCTTCAGGCGATTATAACATGCTGCTGACTCTGCATATCAAAGATAGGCTTTATTACTAGCTCTCTCCTCAAAAGCTAAACCCATATATACTCTATACAGACAGGTACCTCTAAACATCAATAAATACACATTTCATCATAATTCCTCCTTAAAATGGCTAAATAGCTGCTCATTTGTAGACAAAATAAAATGCCATCTTTTTAGCATTACAAGAGGGCTTCATGACCTGGAATCTATCTACCTATTTGTACTTGATTTTTCGTCTTGCTCACAACCCAACTATCCATTTCTCTCAGAAACATCAGGACACCTTTTTTTTCTTTTTGCTGATACTGCTTCCAAGTGAATGTCCTCTTCTCCATAGTCAACGTGTATTCTTCCAGTAAAATTAAGTTCCAGAGCCACTTGTATGAGTTTCTCCTAACCTTCTGAGGTAGAATTAATCACTCTCATCCTTCAGCGTCTTCACTGTACCCTGAACAGACTTCTAACATACTGACTGTATTATTTTATTGCCATGTCTGTCTCTCCTTACTAGACTACTACAAGTTTCTTCAGGGCAGGGAAAATGTTTTATTTATAGGTCTTTATCTCCAGGGTCTTGCATCTACCTAATTTAAGATGGAAAGATGCCAATTCTAGATACACTATAAGGTGTAAGTCAAACACACAACACGAAAAATTGGAAAAACACAGGGAAATGACCCAGCTCTTATTGAATCAAACAATGAATAAATGTCAGAGCCTATACAAATAACAACAATTGAACAACGTTAACTTAATGGGCCATAGCCTCATCTTTGTTTCATATCGATTTCTCCAACTTGGTGAAAACTCTTTCAGACTTTCTTTCTAAATTGTTAAAAGTAAACAATCAAACATCTCAGGCCTTACTTTTGCCAAATACAGGTAGACCAGCCTTACTTTCTTTGCTCCAAATGCTGGCATTAACATATTTCAATCAGATTGCTGGTATGAATTCAGTATTTACTTTCTGAAAAGTTAACTTGGTTTATAGAATACATTTTTGAGCATGTTTTAAGCTTAGAAAACTGCAGAGCTGAAAAAATCTGTAGCTTAAGCTATGAAAATGTCACAAGTGGACAAAAAGTGGTCATCAGTTATTAAAACCACCTTCAAAGTCCTCTGGACCAAACGGTCAAATCCCGAATGAGCTAATAACTGAACTCGACTCTGCAAACAGTCAGTTACTACTCAAAATAAAAACTATGTATTGTCACCTCCATGTAGACAACATACAGATACTTCTAAAATAAAAGGCTCAGAACATAGACTCAAAAAGAGTGTTTAAAAAGACTCCCACGAGCGGTCTATCACAACCAATATCCAATTAACAGAAGAGTATCAAACCTTTTAAGAATGTGCTACAATTTTTTTGGCCACCATCAAGGAATTAATGAAAAAGAACATTTCTTACAGTAAGCATAAGAAGGGAAAACAACTCTTAGTTGTTTTAGTAACATACTAAGATTTGGCCAAACTCCTCTCAAAGAATACACCTCTTTAAAACTAAAAGGCAAAAAAAAGGGGAGGGGGAAATAAAAGGAGTGAACTATCCCCAGCCACAAACTGCATTCTTGTCTGCAGAATTTCAGAACTCTCATTTCCATGTTTTTTAGACAGGAAGAAAGTTAATGCAAGATAATCTTTGTGAAGCTGAGAAATATTACATGCATGATGAAAAATAATCTCAGAATGTTCAAAGAATCTGATGGCCAAATTCTCTGAAGGTAGAGAAAGAACTGGTTTGCTCGCTAGAATCAGGAGTGATTTCTTAAAAGAAAGTGGTTTTCAAACTGACAAAATTGTTGGAACTTGGACATGAAGAATCAGGCCATAAAAACACACCTTGCTGAATATAGACATCTGTCAAGAAAATAGGTAATGATAATAATATAAAGCCTATAATTTGCTAACATATTTGCCTGCATTAAATCCTCAGAGAAATCCTGTATTTTACTCGAGGAAATTGGAATTAATTTGCCCAAGGTCACACCACCTGCAAGAAAACAGAGGATTAGGGCCCAGGTCCACCTGACCTTTAGCCCAAGAATGCTCTCACAGACTGTGTTATACTGCCTCCTACAGGTAATCAAAGCTGCAGGGCAGCAAGTGAAAAACTGACAAGACAGTTCACGAACCTGTCACTACTAAGACAACAAAGAGATATGAAGGTGGTACCTGGAATTAAAAACAGCAAGACATCCCCCAAACTAGTTAAGATTAGTGAGAATGAAAGTAGAAAGATTATTACCTAAAGGATTCAGATCAGCTCAGAGTGGAAACACCCAAAATCCCATCAAGACTGGCTAAACTGTATTCTCTAAGACAAAGGAGATGGCCTGTGGGTTTTTAACTATAGGAGGAGAGTTCAAGGGTGAAAAGGGAGGAGAGGCTAGCTCAGAGAATAAGTTCAGAAAACATTTTACCTAGGAATGAATGCCCTGATCTAGATTTACACCTAGGGGAGAAGGATGCACACGGCTAATAAGTCTACCGTAAGGTTATCCAACTAATTCCCCTTCCTCTGATTTCAGGTTCACCAAGCCCTGGTGGTACA